ATCCAGCTTGATTTGTAGAAGGCCTATGATATGGTGGATTGGCATGCACTAGAGACTATTTTAAGGGAGATGAGAATACCCCTCAGATTTACCAGTTGGATTATGAAAATGGTAACCACTATCACATATACCTTTACTGTTAATGGAGAGCCTACTGATGTTATGCAGGCTAAAAGAGGTATCAGGCAGGGGGACCCTATATCCGCTATGCTCTTTGTGGTTTTGATGGAATATCTTACTAGGCTGTTGGTTAAAATGCAACTAGACCCGGATTTTAATTACCATGTGTTGCGGTGAGAATAGGATATCAAATTATTAATTCATTTGAATCACATCTTTAGTTTACAACCGGTTTTTGATTTATCCGAAGGAAAAGGTCAAAGAAGGAAAAACCTAATTTGCATCGTAAACACAATGTGGAGAGAGATATAAGGTTCGGGGGTTGATTAAGCTTAGGGAGGTATTGGCACCCTAAACTTTTGTAGTACTCTACAGGAACCTTTTGTTTAAGTTTTCTATTTTGCTTGATTATTTGCTTGAGGGTATATACTAAGCTACGGGTTAGAAAGTGACAGAAAGACCTAAGGGTTAATCCTAAGTTTACTCGCCAACATTCGCATCTTGTGCCTACGTATCCGAGGTAGGGGATGAAATCAGAGTAATCGTAGTTCCCTTTGAAAGGGAGGTTAGAAACTTCTTGACTGTGGTCAAAGTTTCAATAGTGAATAAACGTTCTTAAGGAAGCGCTTACGTGGAGTGCGGCGACTCCTATTTCTACGTTGAAAATTGAATTGAAATAAAAAGGGTAAAATAGGTATTCCACGACGAAAAACCTAAAACAGAGTGCGACGACTCCTTAACTTAACGCTAGGGTAAAGGGTAATTCGGTCCACGGAGGGACGCCTATGCAATTAGGGTTTTGAAAGGGTCAAAGGTGAAGACTGTTGACTTGGCGGTCAAACGGCTAGACCTAATCCTTCGGAGGGGTAATGATGGTAAATGATGCAAAATAATTGAACGACATTATAAAAATATGGGAAAGTGTGAAAACAGTAAAGGAAATGCACAACGACGATATACTCGCATAAATTACAACCATAAAAAATGCAAGAATAATAAAAGCGACGATATACTCGCGTAAAGTTACAACCCAAAAATGAAAATGCGAAAAGTACGGGGGATTTAGTAATTATACAACTTGAGGGACAGTGGAAAAACGACATAAGCGTTATACAAACTTAACGGGGCAATAAACGGACAAAGTTAATTTGCAACGGTAATCAAGATGTTAGCCGCATTTTAAGAAACCTTTAAAGTTAATTGAAAAATAAAAAATAAAAAATGGTTCTAATTTAAGATTTTCTAAAAAGGTTTTGACTAATTACACTGGTTCTACTTTTTAATTTAATTAAAAAAAATATTTTATTTTAAGTTATTGAAAAAATGGGTTTCTAGTTACAAGTTTTTTTAAAAAGATTTTTTAGGGAGTTTTAAATAAAAAAGGTTTTAATTTACAAACTTGGATTTTAATCTTAGAAGTGGTTTTAATTTGAGAAATGTTTTAATTAAAAAGCTTTAGTTTTAAGAAAAGATTTTAATTTTAACAAGATTTTGATTTTAAAAAATTTTTAAACTTACAAGAGGTTTTAATTTTAATAAAAGGGTTTATATTTTTTTAATTAAACTAGACTTATAACAATTAAAAATAAGAATCATATTTAACCATTCTAATTATACTTAAATTATAAAACATAAACTAATAATAACGCTTAATAATACTAAATAATAAAATAAAATAAAAAAGGAATAATAAAAAAAAGAAAAGTTAAATTAGGGGAGGGGGCCGAATGGCTGGAATTGTGGCATTTAGGGTTTCTTTTAGAAACCCTATTCTTCTTCTTCCTAGATAGCGCAGCGGCGGCTGGCATCCATGGACGCTGCTCTGAGCTTTTTCTTGCTCCATTTCGTTCATCTTTCTTTCTCTTGCTCTATTGAACTTGATAGTTTATGTAAAAAAAACAAATTAAACCTCTGTTAGCCAGATTGCTCACCCTCTTTTATGGGTTTGAAGTGATCTGAGCTGATGGTGAAGCTTCTCGTTCTGGCCAGTGATGAATCTATCTTCTGAGGTCGTTTGTTGTTTGGCCCACTAATGAATTTGGTTGTTGAGCTTCTGGGTTTTTTCGTGGCCTCCTTGTTCTTGCTGTTTGGGATGAACCGATAATGATGTTCTCGCCGGCTTGTGATGTTGGCGATGACTTTATGGGTTTTCTGAATACGCTCTCTTAAAAATCTCTTCCCCCTCTTCTTCTGATGAACACCCTTTTTTATATTTCTCTTGATGGGCCTGGATTCTCTGGTATTATGATTTTTCTTCATGATTTCATGGCTAATTTTCAGGAATTATTGGTGCCGGGTTTGTGAATTTCACGGTTTCGTTGTTGACCTGCTTCGTTTTGAGTTGCAGTAGTTTTGGAAAAAGTTGTTTTGATGCTGAGAATTGTGGTTACTTACATGTGGTTTGATCCGTTTGGATTTACGTTTTTCTTGGAGAAGTTGTTTTTTAGTCTGTTTTGGTGTCAGAACTTTGGTTCTGGTTGCTTATGACTTGTTTGGCCAAAACCCATTTTTTCCAAAATCACTTTTTCCGAACATCACTTTTTTCGAAAATCACATTTTCTCTCTCCTGGTTAAATTGAACAGAGGCTGCCGGGTCCGGGCCGAGGTCGGAAAAAATAAGTTGGGAGTTGGCGGCGGAATATTCCGTTGCCCTTCCGACGTACCTGATGATGAGTTAATTGAGGGTATTCGAAAACAATTTTTTCTAACCATTAAAAATTGCTTGCTCTGTTGTTGATTTTTCTTCGCAGGTTCGAAGAAATAAAGTCGAAGAATCAGCGTGAAGACAATTTTAGAAAAATCATGACTTTTTAGAATTTAGGAGTTTATTTTGTAATTGAGATTAATCTTTGTAATATTGTAATAAAAAATATAAAATAAATAAAATTCTATTTTCTTATTAACTTGAATTTACTTTCCCGATTAAATTTCTCGAAATAATTCATCCGATCAATTCCAACGAATAAATTAAATTAATCAAATTTATTCGACTAAATTCCTCAAAATAAACTCAAACAACTAAATTCATTTAATTAAATTTAATCGATTAAGCTTTTCCAATTAAATTCGTCTGAATGAATTCGTCCGATTAAATTTGTCCAACTCAGTTCATCTCCACAAATTCAACTGATTCCATTTACCCGACTAGATCCATCTGGTTAAACTCGTTCAAATAAATTCACCTGACTAATTTCATCTGGTTAAAACTCGTCTGATTAAACTCGTCTGATTAAATTTATCCAATAAATTAATCGATTAAGCTTTGACGTTCCAAACTCCGAATTCGACAAATTAACCATTCTGCACGATTTAAATCCGACGTAACCAAGCTCAAACAAATCATTTTGAAAATTACTTCGAACTCGATATTAACGTCAGTGAATATGACCTTGAACAGATAAACAGAGAAAATCAGTTAAACGGCAAAGCGAACTGTCTTCTGGATTGAAAAATTCAAATTGTATCTCGGATGATTTAACTCGGTAACCTGAACCAGCTCGGTTAACAATCCTGACCAAAACACCAGAGATTCACCCAAAATCAACGCACACTGAAATTCCATTATTTTCTTTAAAATCGACCATTGACTAGCAGAAAGCAAGAAAACGTGTGTCTGTTAAAATAACTTCTTCAAAGCAAATTCTCGCACCGATTTATCCTGAATCCACTTATATTGCAACACATTCATCCCCAGATGGCTTATTACTTAAACAACATTCCTGAAATCCAACTGACGACTAAATCTCGGCTCTTGAATAAGAGGTACTATGTCACGAGAAGTCTGACGTCAAAACTATCGTAAAATTTAGCTCATCCTCAAATAACTCCCAAGACTCGGAGATGGAAACCCTAATAACTCGAGGAACCCCCGATGACGACTTGGCTCCATGAATTGTCAGCAGGCTGTAAATTAATGATCGTTTTGCCCTTCACCAATTAAACTGCACACAGTGTGATTTTTTTTCTGCAAAAACCAACGGACTGAGCAAACTGGTTAGCGGTTAGTTATAATGCAATGCAAAATGAGATGAAATGCAAAATGAACCGACAAATCTAAGGGTAAAATTTGGAATATGACACCATGCAAAGTGTGAGAGATTGGGGATCACCCATCTCACTTTTGCAGATGATATTTTTCTATTTTGTAGAGGAGATGTTGTATCAGTGGAAATGCTCCTAAACATTGTCAAGAATTTCTCTATGACTACTGGCCTAATTGTGAACCCAAGCAAATGTAAGATCTATTTTGGGGGAGTGGACCGGGATGCAAGGAGTAAGATGCAGGAAATTATAAATTTCAAAGAAGGCCAATTACCAGTTAGATACCTCGGTGTACCTCTGACTTGTAAGAAGCTTCATACTAATCATTATCTACATCTTATTAACAGGATTATAACAAGAATTCGACATTGGACCTCGAAACTCTTAAGTGTAGCTGGGAGAGTCCAATTGGTGAAGAGCACGATCAATATTATAGGCCAATATTGGATGTGATGCCTGCCCATTCCAAAAGGTGTCATTAAAAAGATTGAGGTAATGTGCAGATGCTTCATTTGGCCTGGCAGCCAAGAAGGAAGCCGGAAAAGTCCAGTTTCTTGGAGCACTGTTTGCAGTCCAAAACGGCAGGGGGGCTAAACATTTTCAATATGGAAGTGTGGAACAAGGTGACAAAGCTGAAATATCTATGGAATTTATGCAAGAAAACTGGTAATTTGTGGGTTAAATGGGTGCACATGTATTACTTGAAAGGAAACTGCATCATGGGGGCTACTATCAATAAAAGTAGTTTTTGGGTTATGAAGAATCTTATGAGCCTAAGGGGTCATATTAGTGATATTCAACAAGCCTGAGACAATCAGATCAGCAAGCAGAAGTTCAGCATGAAAACTCTATATGAGGCCTTGGTGGATGATAATATTAGAGTTCATTGGAGGTTCTTATTCAAGAGCAATAACGCTAGACCAAGAGCCATACATACAACATGGCTAGTGTGTCATGGGAAAATAGGAACTAAAGACAAGCTTGTGAGAATTGGTTTGATTCATGAAACTAAATGCAACCTATGCAATGAGGTCGATGAGAAATTGGATCATTTGTTTTTCGAGTGTGCAGTATCCAAGGGTATTTGGCAGCATGTGCTACAATGGAAAGAAATCCAGCATGATCTCCAATGCTGGAGTGCTGAGAAAGTGTGGATTTTGGAGCAAGTAGCGAATAAAGGTTGGAGAGCTAGCTTGTTGAAACTTTCCATCATGGAAACAATTTACGCATGTGGAAACATATACGAATACATGTGAAAATATTATAGAGAACATTTTGTATAGAGGTTGGGGGTCAAAAAAGCTTAGGAGCCATATAGCTAGCTATTTTGATGACTTAGTCTTTTCTAGTATTTTGGTTGGTTTGTACTTTGATCACCTTGTACTTGATTTGTTTTTTGAGTTAATATAGCTCCTTTTTTATTCAAAAAAAAAAATTATTCGTAAGCTACAAACTGGTTTCAGCTTGATTTGTAAATTTTCACCCCTAATCAGTATCAATATTTGAATTGATAATAACAAATTGTGGTTATCACAAAAGAGCTATAAAACATAGACACTTCTCCATATTGTCTTGTCATGTTTTTTTATGAAGAAATTGTCTTGTCATGTGTTAGACAATGTATGCGTTTTAAACAACAATATTTATTGGACACATATGATATCTTGTGTTTTAATTAAGAATAATATGTTTAAATATTTTTAAATAAATTTATAGTTATGATTTAAGTATATTTAAAATGAAATATTGTTGGGAATTTATTTATATTTAAAAGTATTTTTAAGAATTGTTTAAAAAATATTATTATTTGGATAACCATATTATTTAAGAAATATTGTTGGAAATATTGTTTAAAAAATATATATATATATAATGAATTATGAAAAATACAAACATATAAATTTATCTCATAATAGAATTTAAATAATCAATAACTAAACCATATTATTATGATAAGTACCGATTTAGATAACAAAATTAATATTCATATTTATATTTTACAATTTAATTTAAATTTCTAAAAATAAAACAATTTGAATATTAATTTAATTAAACATAACCGATTTTTTGGCATCCCTAATTGCAGCCAAATCTTCGTTACATAAAAAAATAACAAAGCATATAAAGTTTGATTGCAATCTGGTTAGCAAATAATTGTAGCATAAATTGTTCTACATATTTCCTATTTTATCATCTCCACAATTAATTAATGTGTTTCCTAAGACTCTTGATCCTACTCCTTTCTATAACTTCATTCACCTTTCTAATTAGTTAGTTTGTTAGACAATTAATTTGTTATACTAAGTTGGTTAGTTAGTATTATAGTCAATTAGTTAAGTGTTTCCCTCTCTATTTCAACTAACCCAACGAATTTTCTTTTGAGATTCCAAATCAACCCAAAGAAACGTGCATTGGATTTTAATTATGTCACTCTTAATGCCTTTAGCAATCCTGTAAAAGGACAACACATAATTAATCATGACAATTTGGTCCCCATAGACAAGTGTTTCCCTCTCTAAGTAGCAAGCCTTCTTTGAATCGTGTTCACTATGAGCCTCCAAGCTGACCTACTTCTGGAATTGATCCCTACTTCTATTTCTATAAATTTGGATGAAATTCTTCCAATGTTGCAACACATGAAATTGGACACTACAGTAAAAGAACTCCTCTTTCAAATTTAAACCGATAAACTTAGTTTTTGAAAGCTTAACATACATCCCAAAGACCAATTCAAAGCCACACAATAACGCTTTTATACTCCAAAGATTTTTCCACAAACCATCACATAACACTATGGCGTCAACGGTGAATTGTGACACCTCCAAATGAATTTTATCATTGAAATGGAAACCTTGTAGCTCTCAGAGACTAGTGTCTTGCCTAACCATCCTAGAGAAACCTTCAACAACCAACAAAAATAAAAAAAAAGAGACAAGGGATCCCTTCGTCTCAAACCTCTATAAATTAGAAATTCTGACGTAGGACTCCCATTGACTAAAATGGACAAAAAAAAAAAAACTTGTGATGACAAGATCTTCCATCCAATGAAGTCATTTCAAACTAAAAAAAATTCTCTACAAAATATTTTTCAAGAAATTCCATGAAACAACATCTTAGCTTTTTGGAAATCTACTTTCACCATTAAACATTCTTTCTTGTTTCTAGAAGCAAAATCAAAACCTTTGTTAATCACCACCACTCCATATTGAATGTGCCTGCAAGATAAGCACATGGATTGAGTATCGGATATCAAACCATCCATGACTTTCTTGAGCCTAGAAAATAATAATTTGGCTAAAATCCTATAAAGGCTCGAGATCAAATAAATAGGTCTATAATCGCGTAGACTTTGAGGATTGGCCAATTTCGAAATGAGAGTGATAAACGAAGTAGTCACCGCTTTAGGAAGGTTGGAATAAATAAAAAATTCATTCACAAAATTCATAACATCTTGCTTGATGATTACCAAACAAGCTTTGAAGAAATTCAGATTAAAATCGTTGGGTCTTAGGCTTTTAACACACACATTAAGCCATATCACCCCTTTAACTATAGGGATTTAAAAGGGGTTTTTCAAACTTTTTAATCCTCTTAGTGAAATAATTTCGATAAATGGATCTTGATTAAATTATTAATCACAAATCAAACTCACCAAAATAAAGATTCATGAATTACCTCTTGAAGTGTGCTTTATCTTTGATCACGAATGGCGAAAGATTCCGGTGTCTCTATGTAGTCCACGAGAGTACAAAGTAGAAGGCGGTGCTAGCCGTTTTAAGAGAATGACAAAATTGACAAATTAGGATTGCTAGGGAAATAACTTCTCTATTTATAGAGAGCTACTAAAATCCTAATGCTTTTATTTTGGACTTTTCCAAAACAAGTTCAATCTTATTTAATTAAAATATTTTAATTAAATAAATATTATTTTTATTTAATTAAATTCTTTTAATTAAATAAAATAAAATATTCATTAAATTAAATCATATTTAATTTAATTAACGGTCAATTCTCATTTATTTAATTAAATTATATTTAATCAAATAAATTATATATGTACTAATGTATTAAATAATTTAAATACTATTAACACATAATTATATTAAATCTTATTTAATTTAATAGTCCATTCTACTATTAGTACTCTATGTGTATGACCTTGTAGGTACTCGTAATGTTGACAATAATATTAAATTACATATTTAATATTATAAATAATGAACGATATCTAACAACACATCATTGATACCCAAGTAACGAGAATGTCGTGTGATGAAACATAACCTTTGATAGTGATCATGTGTATAATTACCCATTTCCCTTATATATATAATGAACACAAGGCATAGAATGTATCACCCTTGTATAATCTAATATTTTATTCCTTGATCCCCGAGCATACTTGATAACAGCAAATAAGCATAATATCTCATATCGATTTATTTGAGCACAACCATAAAAATTTGAAGTCTTAATCTATTAAGGGGCCTAAAGATATTACTCTCGTATATGTAGGAAGGAAAAATCCCATCTATGTCACTCATGTTCCTGAGTATGATTTATAAAGTACCCATCATCCATCTTTATGGTCATCCTATTCTGAACAATGTTTGATTTGCAATAAAGTACTCAACTCCACATCTAGGGTCCATAATGGTTTCAGGTCGAAGGGTAGTATGCATCATTATCACTATGAGAATAACTTATGAAACTTACATAACAAACTATGTAGTATTCTCATGGTGGGTAAATCTAGTATAAATATTATCCCTAATATTTATATCTACGTGAAGACTTGAAATCTCATATCCATGACATGTGACATACAGTCGTCAGTCTACTCACATAATAGTCTCTATGCATTACTGGTGTCCTATTTGAAAATAAAGCTTGGTTAGTGATACTTTAAGAATAATGTCTTTATGTTTAATGAGATTTCACAATTAAGTCACTCTTAATGGATCATTAAACTGACAAATTATTGTAAGGACTTTATTATGTCATATACAAATAATATAATTTACTCTAAGAACTATTATGTCATATAGAAATAATATAATAAATACAATGCCATATATATATATATATATATATATATATATATATATATATATATATATTATATATATATATATATATATATATATATATATATATATATATATATATATATATATATATATATATATATATATATATATATATATATATATATATATATATATATATATATATATATAACAAATAATATACAACCAATATTGATTGGCTATTAGGGCTTATTCCAACAATCTCCTACTAGCACTAGAGTCAATCACATATTATCTTAACATATATCTATTCATTGTGTTCGTCAAGCAAAATCTATGCATGATACTTTATACTTTATCAAGATATAAGAAATTCTTTCTTATGTTGGTAATATACACCTCTTCCAATTTCAACTTTCGATCTTCTATCAAAATATTTAGAAGTGTTAAAATATATTACATGGATCACTAGTGAGATCTAGTTTTCCAAACTTGCAAGATTAACCAATTATCATCGTGAATGAGATCATTAGGATCTGCAATAGAAGAAACACAACATTCTTCCCATGAATTAGCAAAGCGATCCAAATCATATATTTGACTTTTGTACTAGAAACGACAAGTGTTTGAAGCCTTTTCAGCTTATACAGTTGCCATCCAAGCATAAAATTTAATTTATACTGTGATATGAATATATAGTTCGTAAATTTTGGAATAACATCATTGTAACTCCTTTACAATGATTATTCCCACATCCTCTTGATAAAAGGAACAACAGATCCTTTTAAGACATCCATAGACCTTCTTAATAGTGATCTAATGATTAACGCTTCAATCATTTTAGTACTTATTGTTTATGCTCATAGCATATGGTGCATCTAGTGCAGTACATATCATGGTTTCCTTTTTTTTATCCAATGATGTAAGACATTGTCCATTAGACAAAATATCATGCCACATATGCAATAATCTTAATCTGAGATTATGCAAATTAAGCATCTCAACACTTTTTTTGTAATATGTACTTGTGCTAGGTTTAATAGTCATTGTCCATCTATCTCTATAAATTATGATTCCTAACCTTTTAGGAAACATCACCTAAGCATTTTATCAAAACCATTTCCTTAATTGTATCTTACATTGGTGTTGTAGGGAATTTATTTTGATGATTAGTATGTTGCCTACATACTACACTAGATTAATGCAAATACTCCCTCTAACCTTTT